AACGAGACGCCGAGGAAAGCAGAGGAGTGCGGTGAGCGAAGGCCGATAGGGCGGATGGAGAGCTGGAGCGAGTAAAAGTGCGCTGTAGCAAAGTTAGGAAGTTGCAATATTCGACTAGTGTGCAGCAGTTTATTTGAACTCAGCAAAGAGGAAGATTACACAGGATTGGTGTGACAGTGGTGCAGCAGTTATTCGTACTGGGAGCAGTTACAGGAGATTTGGGGCGGAAATAATAGCAGTCAAGAGAAAGAGGAGATAGATTATCGCGACGCGTTGTAAGACTTTTAATTTGGCAACACAAGTCTTAAGTGTTGAAGTACGCCGAAATTACGCCGCACGTAACACGCGTCAGGAGCCGGGGGCCCAGCAACAAGCGCAGGCGCCGATTCCGAGGGAAGGAAGACTGGACGGCAGCAGAGGTGCACGGTCGAGGATATCTGGCCGTGTGGCGTCATATCTGTCGCCAGCACAAACGTACTATATCAGCCACGTGGACAGCGCTGGCGGAAGAGACGCTGGGCTGCAACAAAGGTAGGGAGCAAGGAAGTTCGTGGAGGCACGTGGAGACCCCGGACCCCGGGGAAATGCGTCGGCGGACAGTGCGGGTGACGCAGTTCCGTCAGCTGCCCAGAAGGTATATAACGGAATCCCGACCTAGCTCGATCTTCTGTTTTCATCTGATTCTTGGGCGCGTCGTAAGGCGTCGTTGTGGTGTGCGCGGCTTGCATTGTAATGCATAGGCGACCAGGCGGAACAGACCGGTCGTGCTCGTACGTGAGGTAGTGCGCATACTCACTGTATGCTCGCGTAAGTACTGTGCATCACCCGAACATGGTATTATATCGCGCCAGCGTGTGGTAACCAGGGAAAGTTCCTTCTTGTAACGATCATTTATTTGTAAATATTGTATATAATATTTGGTGATGGAGTATTTTATTTCATAATAATAGCTAAATATTTACAAGCGTTCACGTTGTAATTTTTGCGCCGGCAAGACGCCACAGTCGGAAGCCCAGTCTGGGACAAGGGCGGACGAGCAGCGAAGAAGCGAGGTTTGCGAGCCGCGCACTGTGCGCGCTACCGCAGGTAATATACTTGCAACGGAAGTTGAGAGCAGGCAGAGACACGAATGCTAGAACAGCAGCAGAAAGGCTACAGTTCTAAATTTGCATAATCACGTAGATTTTCGTACCAACTTGATCACGGCAAAATAACGGAAAGAGAACCTTGTAAGCCGGTAATACAGTTAATTTATGTCTTATGTTTACGAAAGAAAAGTATTGTAAATAGCAATGTAGAACATTTTTTATCATTTTTGTGTAATCTTGTAGAGGAAATTTAACTGTGAATAGTTATAGTGGATAAGTCATTTGATAATTAGTTGCGAATATTAGAATCAAAGATTAGTGTAGAAATAAGGAATTTTACAGAACTGTATTACTCAAATCAAGAGATTTAACGTTTTGTTACTTTCAAACGGTGCTGGCTAAGTAGTAGTTACCTTGCACGAGTATTTCTTAATGTATTTGGTAGGGAAGAGATATTCGAGTCACGGTTGACAAACGATGTACGAGTAAATTCTCAAAGGGTATAAATGGTTATTTGATTTTGTACTATGTGTGTGATATTTACTATGTATATTTCGTTCAGTGCTGTTATATGTGATCATATTCTGGAGAGAATATACGCCCTGTTTAACTGATTCTGTATCTTGGCGTAAATCTTTCTCATACCGTAAAAGATCCTGCCATCTGAGATTTCAAAGCTCGATTAGAGCATTCGATCTGCTCGGACTTAATAACACGCATTAGATATATAATCTTAGAATCTTGTAACTCTATAATATATATAATCTTGGAAATTCTCGATTATTAACGGAATAAAAGTAGTTGAAACATAATATAATTGACATTGGTGCATTTATTTTTTCTAAGTTGAAATAATTTTAAATGGGAACTTTTAGAAATACTAAAATTACATATTTTTACTCGAATATTATCAATATACTGTTTTTTCTTAATATCAAGAGTTATTAAATTTTTGAACGAAATTACAACAGAATTATTTTGAGTTACACTGCCAAGTTATAATAGAACACTGAGTAATTTACAGGGATTGATATTTCGAAAGAGAAATTGCCACACTATACATAAGACTACATATAAGTAGTTAAAAAATCGTGTTGACACACCATTGTAATTTAATTTCATTTTATCAAGTATCTTCTGTGAAAAGAACCTTACATCATATTTTAAGGAGTCATGGATATAAGGAAGGCAACGAAATACACCAAACATCAATAAATTTAAATACAATATAAACACTTTATATTCACATTACAGTTCAATTCCATTAAAAAGGTTCTTGAAATTTGGCTGCACATTTAGTATACAAATTTGCAATTGATGGGATCACACGTTTGTTTTTGAAAGAAGCACACATAATTATTAATAGTATGAGTTACATTATCATATCGGTTTACGCTAGCCCTTTGAGAACAAGCGGTTGTGTTTTAACTACACATTCAGGTAGACGTTTGGTAACTATGAAATAGACCCTTCCCCCAAAAACTTCTCAGGAATAGGACTACGAGAGATGTCTGGGCTATTCCTGACTATGTGAATATGAAGCTCTCTTCCCCTTATTTTCCCCACACTCACAGGTCCGCTTGTTCTCTCCAGTGCCGACGTTCCGGTGGCGGGAAAACACTTGGCAATCGGAGTCTGCAACAGTTGACGACACACACAACACACTGTTTGGATTTCGGTCCCCAGGGTTTGACACACAAAGAAAAAACAAAAAGAAATCAACGTCACATTCCAATATACAATTAATGCTAGTTTAGTTTAACACGATACAGCTAAGTGGTAGGTGGTTTGTGCGCGCTCGAACGAGCGGACGGGATGATCGCAGCAACGACGCGTTCCATTGGCCAAAAATACACGTCGACGGTGGCGCTGCGACACGTCGCTCGCCCGAAGCGCGCGTCTCTACACAGGAACACTCAGGCTGTGGCGCGGGCGGGAATCGCCTACACGGAACCACGCATCGCTACATCCGCATTCAAGTTCTGCTCTTCCCAAAGGTAGTTGCCCCCGTTGAGATTCGGTAGCACAATGAAATCTCCGTTTCACGCTATTTACTACCTCCCCACTAGAGAGCCGGAGCAAGAGTGGCTCAGGAAATTGCACGTGATTTACGATTAGACGGGGTCGAAAAACCAATAGTATTGTTTTGCTTATTAATTTATTTTTTTTAAATATTTTTTGCACACACCCTCGCTTTTGCAGGATTAAAATAAATCATATCATTTCACGATCATGCTGCTGTTGGTTTCAACAGCGCCATCACTACAGGGAACCTGACCGCGCGCAGTGGCCGTTTTCTTTCACTACACGAGTCGCGCTCATCAGCTCGGGTACGCGAGGGTGGCGCGCGGAGTACTTCTGCCAATAGCAGGCTACCTTGACATCGCTGCCCAACACGCTACAGGTGCAAAGGGCACCTCATAGCGAGGGTGAGGCAGAGCACGTTGGGGTGGTCGATATAACGTCACAAGGGAGTCGGGCACTGTCAAGAACAGCTAATACATTTTACAGACTTAGATGTACCAGATGGCAACCCGTGTTTTTTAGAATTCATAGCGTACAGCTTTTATAGGTGATATTCAAGTGCAGCTTCCATTAACAGTCTGAATTTCAAATGTTTGGACTTTCAGTTGTTTTTTCTCGAAACGTAACTTTCTTTTACGGTTCTTTCGAACCTTCATCCTTCCAAAGCTTTATACAGAATAAAATGCTTTTGATTAATCTGTAAAGAAACACAAAAGCGTCTTGAGAATTAGCACAAGAACTAGAATGAACTGATCTGTAGCATACGAAAGAAATCCTCTTGTATGAAAGCATTTCTTTTATTGGAACCTCGCATGAATGCTTTATTAATTACCAACATTAAAGAAAACAGTTGATATTTCATGCGGTTTACTATTAAGACGGAAAGACAATTTAAGTGTAGGGCGCAAAAGATAACTGAGAGGTAGTCTCGGAGGATAGAGCTACTGATTCAGAACATAACAAAATCGATTAAGGCGTTTACCCACTTTGTACATGTCATTATTTGCTTTCAGAAATATGAACTCGAAATTGTGCTCTTTAAAGAATGGACGATAATGTTCACTAAAAAATTGACACGGAAAACATATTTACTTCGTCAGAAATTTCCTTTTAGGATTGTTCGGATTCATGTTCCGTCGGTTATACATCACAAAACCGTCCGTGCCACAGCCTGAACCCATAACCTCTTCTTTCCCTCTCTCTTTCCTTATTAGCGTTCTCTTTCTTTGCCGACTATTCATCTGAGTGCTGATTTGGACCCATGAGAGCAATAGCCGAAGGCATTTTACTCCCAAACGTGTTTTACTTATTATTCCTCTTGCAAACAAAAATACTTGTCCACTGTGACAGTCTAACAGCAAGTCGCAGAGGCGGCATAAGCAAGACTATGCGGCTTGCTGCAGACACAGATATTACGTGTTTCTTATAGAGTTATCATTATAATACAAAAGTTCCTACCGATCGGGCTAACCAAGTCATCCCCGAGTCCAGTCAGTTCTTTGCCTGCTGCCGCTTCCGACAGAAGTCCTATAGGCAGCTCGTCTCACCCGTAGGAGAAAAATATAAAACTGTTTCTTAGGGTTAGTTAGGATTGTCTCTGTTTACGAAAAGCCGGAAAGCTTGCGGCCGAGCGACCCGGCCACCGGTGGGCGGTCGCTCGCACTCGAATGTAAAAAGTAAAGCCTTGCACAAAGCGCCATCCCCCACTCGCGCCTCTCTCCTCGTTTCCTTTGCTGCCTTGTTGCGATCGCGGCGGCTGCGCGCGTTGCGTTAGCTGGCTTAGCGGCTGCTGGTGCCACCGGTGGCGTCGGTAGGGCTACGGGTGGGGCACCGGATCTGGCCTG